AATAGAATAGAATAGAATAGAATAGAATAGAATAGAATAGAATAGAATAGAATAGTAGAAGCAACAGGCCAAGCTGATGAATGTAGGAGTGAGATGAAGGGAGCATGAAGGATGTTTCAGTGGGGACACAACCATTTTGGATAGAGTCTGAAATCCAGGGAGAGAGCCCAGCAACGGTGGTAGGGCATAGGCTTTAGGAATGGGGGCTCCAAGGCCAGGTGGCTGAGTTTGGAGTCCCTGCCACCTACCAACTGTGTGACTTTAAGAAAATCACCTAACCTGCTGTGGTTCAGTTTCCCCATGTGTTAGAGAGGGAAGATGATAGTAACTACTTCTCTGTTAAGGTTGTTAAAACACATAAAGCACTTGGAATGGTGCCTGGCACCACTGACCGGTGAGGCTGGAGACAGAATCAGCCGCCACCGGGACATAGAAAGCCCAGGCACCGGATGAAAGCCTTTCAGCAGAAAGTGTACATTCAAATTTCTAGAGAGCCAGGGGGCTGACGCACATTAGCAGGCAGGGTGAAACTGGTGGCCCAGAGGAGAGCTGGTGTTTCTTGCCCAGGAGCTGCCCAAATCTACCCCAGAGTCGCCACAGGAAAGCGGGCCAGGTAGAACCAGGCCTAAGTCAGGGGCAGGGCTCCCCAGCCAACCCTGGCATGGGCCTGCACACAGGGCCTCCGGGAACCCCCATCTGTGCCTCACTTTTCCCGTCATCAAAGCCAGTGATTCTCTGTAAACTCCACTTCCCTCCACCTCTGCCCGAGTCCCCACCAGCTCTTGCCTGGAGGATCCCAGGATGCTTCTCCCTGTTTTCCGCAGTAGACTATGAACGTCATGAAGGCAAGGGCCACGCCTGATTTTATCATTATAGAGTGCGTGCTCAGTAAGCACAAACAAATGGACCAATAGCCTCCCAGGAGCAAATGTAATAATTCTACGTATTTGTTTTTATTTTTTTAAGATTTTATTTATTTATCTGACAGAGAGAGAGAGATCGTGCACAAGCAGGGGGAGGGAGAGGGAGAAGCAGGCTCCCCACTGAGCAGGGAGCCCGACAGGGAGCTTGATCCCACAACCCTGAGATTCATTTCAGTTTTACCTACGCTGGCCGCACCCCCTCTCTCCCACCGGGGTTTAGGAATCGGGAACGTCCGCAAGGCCTTTCTCGGGGCCGCTATTCCCCTCTGCGAAGGGCCCACGGTGGGTGACGGATGGCGCAGACCGCAAGATGTAAGTGGGCTGGCGCGGCGAGGGGAACGCAGCCCTAAAGGCCAGCCTGCACGGTCAGCTCTGGGCCGCGCACACACGGCGTGCCGGTGCTCACGAGCGCCGCACAAGCGCGTCTTACCAGCCCCCATGCAACAGAGACCGAGACAGGCGTCTAAGCAACGGGCCTCACGTCATCAAGTCACGGACTAGGGAGCAGGGATCCCAACCCGGTTCTTCGAACTCCAAAGCCTGTGCTTGGGAGATGCAGCCTCACCAAATAAAGGCCCGGGAGAGGGGGGCCGGCACCCGCCACACCGTGATTCACACACTAAGGGAGACACCCCCCCACACCCCCGGGAAACCTGAAAACCTTCAGGCCCGGAGACTGACGCGGTGGGGCGGGAGGGAGGAGGCCACGCCCACATTGCAATCTGACTTGTATGTGGACCAATCCCAAGAAAGTAAAAACAGCTTAGGGGAGGACTTATGTAAAGCATACCGAGGGCGAACAGGCAGGCAAAGCAGTAAGGAACAAAATTTAAGTTTTTTTTTTAAAGCCTAGCTATTATTACGAAGTAAGAATAATGGGAAATTGAATTTTAAAAGTACTTCACATTGCAAAGTAATCTAATCCTCATTCCACCAAAATCACCACAACCGTAAAAGCTATTCTAAGGGTAAGGGTTGCTGGGCCGCGGACAAATCGGTATCGCTTCTCGGCCTTTTGGCTAAGATCAAGTGTAGTATCTGTTCTTATCAGTTTAATATCTGATACGTCCTCTATCCGAGGACAATATATTAAATGGATTTTTGGAATTAGGAGATGGAATAGGAGCTTGCTCCGTCCACTCCACGCATCGACCTGGTATTGCAGTACTTCCAGGAACGGTGCACCCCCTTCGGGGGACTAATGCTGTTCAAAAATTAGAACTGGTGACTTTAAGCTCTTGTCGTTACTCTATCTTTAGTTAGCAACCTGTATATCTTAAGAAGTATTGACTATCTGATAGCCTAATAAAAAAGAATGTCTCATTCGCTTTTCTTTAACTTTCAGTTCTATGCCGAGAGACCGACGAATTATCCCGTCCAGTCTAAGCTTTCGGTGTGTCCCCGACCTGTCGAGACAAACCGTCCAACAGAAAGTATCTGAAGAAGTAATTTAAATAGAGTTTTAGAAGTAAAAAGGGGACTTAGGTTTAAATAGGGTATATACTGTAAGGTAAACCCAGGGCGCTCGTTTCTTTAGTAATACGTTAAGATAAATGTGGAATGTGATGCTCAGAACTCTCACCAGCGGCTCTGTACTGATACAATCTGTTTCTGGTTCTCTAGTTTTAGAGAACAAAAATCTCTCTGTAAAGAAACCGTAGTCACTCAAAGAAGTGGCTGTTATGACAGGGTAAAGAAGCAGTTTGTCCCTGGGAAAAATACTGATTTAATTTTGCAGATTTTTACTCTCAGTTGGAGCTGAGTTTTACCATCACAAAACCTCAATATGAGGAAAGAAAGACGATGCTCCTACCTCCACTTTCCGGATTTAAGATTTCAATTTCCCCATCTTTCTTCCTTTTGTTTTTCATACATCGAGGTTGAAACCATGAGCCTCATTAGTGATCTGAATTGATTCTGAAGTGCACTCTTCTTTCTTGTACAGAAAACAAGATGTACATGATGCTTCGGAGCAGGGAGACGGACTAGGCCCGGCTTCAGGAGACGCGGTCCGCTTAGGTGCCTTCCACTCCAAGTGCAAAACTGTCAAGTTACTCTCCAGATCACAAACAAGTATCTCCAGATTTCGTCTTCGTAAAGCAAAACCAGCTGGCGAAGTTAGGGCATCTTTACTCTTCCAGCTTTTTGTTTGTTTTTGAGTGATCTCTACACCCAACCTGGGGGCTCAAACTCAAGACACCGAGATCAAAAGTCGCAAACTCTTCCCACGGAACCAGCCAGGTTCTTTCCTTCCGGCTCCTTAAACTCCAGGAGAGGGCGGTCCTCCCGATGGGGCTCGACGCGCGCTGGTGACGCCGACACTGCGCCGGAAGTACGCGCCGTGGGCTGCCGCGTCCCGCTATGGCGGCTGCTGGGGCACGCTGGAACCATGTGTGGGTGGGCACCGAGACTGGGATCCTGAAAGGTTGGTGGCTGGACCGGGCGTCGGGAAGTGGGGGGGGGTATCCCCCGCTCGCGACTGCGGCGCGACTGACACCCGCCTCCCGCAGGGGTGAACCTTCAGCGCAAACAGGCGGCGAACTTCACGGCGGCAGGACAGCCGCGGCGCGAGGAGGCGGTGAGCGCCCTGTGCTGGGGCGCGGGCGGCGAGACTCAGGTGAACGGCCGCTGTTCGGTCCCGAGCTGGGGGGCCAAGGTGCGGCAGCCTCGCTTTGATCTTCATCTTGCGCTCCTTTGCCCGCAGATCCTGGTGGGTTGCGCCGACAGAACGGTGAGGTACTTCAGCACAGAGGAGGGCCGATTCCGGGGCCAGAAGCACTGCCCTGGCGGGGAGGGCACGTTCCGAGGTCTCGCCCAGGTCGACGGGTAAGACTGAGCACGTCGCTGAACGCTCAGGTCGCAGGGAGAGCGTGGAGGCTCCCTCAGGAAGGGCATATAATGACGATCAACCCATAGTGACACGGGCCGGGGCTGGGTGACAGGGACCTGTGTCCTGCCTATAACAAGCGTTTATTGAACACCTGCTGAGTAACAGGCATTGGGCGAAATGCACGGGCTGCAGGTAAACCAGACACATGAAGTAGGTACCTTCCTGGAGTTTGCATCCGCAGGGGTTTTGCATCCTGGCTCCATAGCGTTTTGGATGACCCTGAGCAAATCGTTTAATAGTTTAGAGTGTGTTTGAAAACTGACACTACAATTACCAACAATATGGTGAAGTTCCCAAAGTAAAGGATAGGAAAGTGCTAGCGGTTAGGTAACTGGCCTAGCTTTCTTCCAAAGATGGAGAAGGCTGTGAATAGGCTGTGTCGGTTTGGTGATGTTCCGACGAGTGAGATCTAGAAGTGTCTGCGGGTGAGACATTTGTACTGGGCCATGCAGGATGGGCAGAATTTTGACAGGAGGAGAAAGGGGTAAGTGCATTCTAGAAAGAGGCTACTGCCTGGGCAGAGGCCAGGATTGGTGTCAGGTTACACCGTATTTTGGGAAAGATAAACAGCATTTAGGGGTTGAAGCCAAGGATGCATTTTAATACAAGATGGACAAGATAGGTAGGGATTATATGTACAGGGCTTTCAGAGCCAGGCTGAGAGATTTGCACTTGTGATTGGGTAGGTGGTGGTGGGGTATTGGGTTTTGAGTAAGGAGGGGTGTGGAGAATGGATTGGAAAGAGCAGTTGGGAGGCTGTTGCCACAGCCCAAGCAAACAACACAGCCTGAACTGAGGTGAAGGTGGGCAGATGTGAGAAAGAACATAGGCTCAGACTCTACAGATCCTGGGAGAGACTTGCTTGGGCTTCATGGGAGGGGTGTGTACTTTGAGGGACAGATCAACATTTAGCGTCTGGGACCCTGAACTGGGAACTGGAGAGAAGCTGGTGTTTGACCTTGGCCAGACCCTAAATTTAGACCGTCCCACTTCAGTCCTTTCATAGCTACTGATCCTGACTCCTGGTGAGCCACTCAAGATTGAGAAAGACCAGCAGAGCAGGTGCCCCCAGATGTAGCTGCGGAATAGCAAAGGCACTTTGCTTTGGAGTATCACAGACTTGATTTCCAGCTCTGGTTCTGACGTTTAGTTGTGTGGGCAAATCTTGTCATTTCTCAGAGCTTTAGTTGCCTCACTTCCAAAACTGGTAACCCCTCCCCCCATCGAGTTTATTAAATAACAGACCTGAAAGGAGAAAGTCTCGTTAATGTGAATCTGGGGGGGGTCAACTGGGGCCTGGAGCAGACTTTTACACTTTTTTTTTTTTTTTTTTTTTTAACTAACTCTGTCCTCCCTCTGCCTGCAGCACCCTTATCACATGTGTGGAATCTGGGATTATCCAAGTCTGGCGTGACAATGACAAGGAGGCATCCTCTGACCCAGTAAGGTTCCCCTGCCTTGCTTGTTGGGGAAGATGGGGGCCAGGGTAGGAACCAAGTGAGGGCTTTGGGGGAAGAGATTTAAAGACTCTGGAACTGCTTCTCATCTCCCTTCTCATCTCCTGTTCTTTTCAGCTCCTGGAACTGAGTGTGGGTCCTGGGGTGTGTAGGATGCGCCAAGACCCGGCACACCCCCACATGGTTGCCACGGGTGGGAAAGAGCATGCTTTGAAGGTGTGGGACCTACAGGGGTCTGAGGAGCCTGTGTTCAGGGCCAAGAATGTAAGTGACAGGGGTGGGATGGGCTGGGGCTGAGGTCCAGGGAGGCTGAGGCCACTGACTGAGTCAGAGACCAGATGGGCTTTAGGGGATGTTGCTGACGGGCTGAAGGAAAGAGCCTATGAGCCTCCCACAACCTGTCCCCCATCTCTCCACCCCCCACCAGGTACGGAACGACTGGCTTGACCTGCGGGTTCCCATCTGGGATCAGGACATACAGTTCCTCCCTGGGTCTCAGAAGCTTGTCACCTGCACAGGGTACCACCAGGTGAGGCACCATCTCACCCTTCCCGGGCTTCAGCAGCCTCCTGGAGAGACAGCCTCTCTGCACAGGCTCAGTCCTCATCGTTTCGCACAGCTGCCCTTCTCACCAGGCTCTGTCCCTGAGTTAGAAGAAGCATTTCCTCCATCCGTCCCAGCCCTGTGGCTGAGCCAGTGACCTTTTAGTGCATCCTTGGATGAGTGTTCTGGACTATGAGCCTTCCTTTGCTTCCCACCTGGGAGGAGAAAAGAAGAGAGTGCCCTTTTCACAGTAGGAGCACAGGGTACAGGTGTGATGAGAGGACACTGGGTGTCAAGAGAACTGGGTTCTGGTCTTGATGCAGCCTCTGATTTGCTTTGGGACCCAGGCCTGACCCTTTACTCTCCAGCCTCAGCTCTTTGGCTTTATAGGAGGGAGGAAGGGAGCGAGGGTCCAGCTGGGGATCTTTACAGCTGGCCTCACTTGAAGTCCTAAGACCCAGGCAGGATTGGGTCACTATATTTGCCCCATTTCCTTTACTCCTGCATAATGACATCTGATCTTGGTGATATGCCTCTATTCAAAACACACCCTGAGGGCTTCCTCTCTCCTCTGTTGTTCAGGTTAAATTTCTCTGAAATGCAGTACTCTCTGACAGTTGGACTGGCTTGCTTTTTCATCCCAAGGTGGGAGTCTGGAGGGATGGAATGCTCACACATGCGGACCATTCATGCTCCTAAGCAGGTCTCCTCTACCCACTCCTCCCTAACACTCAGAGAAGAGGGGGTACATTTCAGATGAGAAAGTTTCTCTAAGAGTCGGTCATAAACAAGAAAGCGGTGTGTGAAGGAGGGGGTAAAGATGTGGAGAAGCCAGGGGCGGGGGTGGGCTGGCCTTGTGATGCCTCGGTGTTTTCCAGGTTCGTGTCTATGATCCAGCCTCCCCCCAGCGCCGGCCAGTCCTGGAGGCCACCTATGGAGAGTACCCGCTTACAGCCATGACCCTCACTCCTGGGGCCAAGTAAGTGTTGCGAGGACAAGGTGGGGGCGGCTCAGAGAGGACTCCAGAAGGCCCCTGCTGACTGCACTCGCTCTGGCCCCCTCCATAGTTCAGTGATCGTGGGGAACACTCACGGGCAGCTGGCAGAAATTGACCTTCGGCAAGGTGAGTGGGCCAGGGAGCCTTGAAGGAGGGCAGGGCGTGGGAGGAAATGCAGGATGCCGTCTGACGGGGTGCAGGGGAGTGGTTGAGCCCTCATTCAGGTGCCTGTTGCCTGGGTTCAAATCCTGGTTTCACCAGAAGCTATGGGGTCTTGGACAAGTTACTTCAACTCCTTGTGACTCCTAGTTCTTTTCCATGTAAAATGGAGATACCAGTGATAACTCCTGTCCCGGCGTTACGTTGAGGAATAAATATTGAAACATAAAGTGATTGAGACAGTAAACAACTGGGGCGCCTGGGTGGCTCGTTTCGTTAAGCATCCAACTCTTGATTTCGGCTCAGGTCATTATCTCAGGGTTGTGGGATCAAGCCCCAGAATGGGCTCCACACCAGATGTGGAGCCCTGTCTAAGATTCTCTCTCTCTCTGCCCCTCCTGTACACGAGCACTCACTCTCTCTCCCTCTGTCAAAAAAAAAAAAAAAAAAAAAGAAAGATAGAAACATTTAATGGTTGTTGGCTGGCCAGCTCGTGCTGATGCCTTCCCCCCTCCCTTCTCCAGGGCGCCTCCTGGGCTGTCTGAAGGGGTTGGCAGGCAGTGTCCGAGGATTACAGTGCCACCCTTCAAAGCCCCTACTAGCCTCCTGTGGCTTGGACAGAGTCTTGAGGGTACACAGGATCCGGAATCCACGGGGTCTGGAGCATAAGGTGAGAGCTGGCTGCCTCATGTCTCCCCATCCGTGTTTCTGTTTCAGTTTGCTCGGCTCCTTAAGGCCCCTGATCTTTTGCAGGTTTATCTCAAGTCTCAACTGAACTGCCTTCTCTTGTCAGGCAGGGATAACTGGGAGGTAAGCAGTTGGGTCTGGGAATGGTGGGAGCAAGGGCACAGATGTGAGCATTTCCCTGGGGAGAGAAAAAAGTAGCGGCTGGAACACAGACCTGGAACTGTCTGTCAAGTTAATAAACTTCTCTGAGGGGTGTTAATAGTTGTAATCCTGGGGTGCCTGGGTAGCTCAGTCGGTTAAGCGTCTGCCTTCAGCTCGGGTCGTGATCCCAGGATGCTGGGATCGAGCCCCACATCAGGCTCTCTGCTCAGCGCGGAGCCTGCTTCTCCCTCTCCCTCTGCCTGCTGCACCCCTACTTGTGGGCGCTCTCTCTCTCCCTCTGTGTCAAATAAATAAAATCTTAAACAAACAAACAATAGTTATAATCCTGACAGGGTTACTGCCAAGGGCTGATAAAGGAGCATGGATGGGAATAGTGTCCGGGAGCAGGAAATAAAAGATTATTTCCCAGCCAGATCCTCCTTCCCTCTGCATGTTACTGTACCCCTGATTCCTCTTAAGTTTTCTCCCACCCACCAGGATGAGCCCCAAGAGCCCCAAGAGGCCAAAAAGGCGCCCCCAGAAGACACAGAGACAGATCAACTTTGGGCCTCCTTGGAGGCAGCTGCCAAGCGGAAGCTCCCTGATTTGGAGCCGACCCAAGGGGCTCTCCAAACCAGACGGAGAAAAAAGCAGCGGCCTGGGTCCACCAGCCCCTGAAGAGCCTGTGCTCACTTTGTAAATAAATATCTCAGCACCCACCATGACCCTGAGCCTTTTGTGATGGGAGAAAGGAAAAAGGGGTGGCTGCTCCCAGCGCTGGTGCAGTGGGGTATCTGACGTCACAAAAGCAAGGCCGGGAGCCTGGCGGGCTGGCGAGGGTGGCACGGAGTTCGGGGCCGCTCGGGGCTATGGGCTGCTGCCAAAACAAGGACTTTCAGATCTCCGATGAGCCGGCCAAGGAGGCCGAGTCGGAGGAAGGCGAAGGTGGGACCCAAGACACACCAACGGGCCCGGGGAGCAGGAGAAGGGGCTGCCCCGACCGGGACCGCCCAGGAGGTTGGACCGGGGAGGGTAGAGCAGAGCTCAGTGGCCTCGTCATCCCCGCAGGCTTCGAAAGGGTCGATGAGGAGCCGCAGAACCGCGGGAATCGCAGGTCGAATGAAAGCCTTTTGATCACCGTGCTGTGGCGGCGGCTATCCCTGTTCGGCCGTCGGGGGTCAAACAAGAGGCAATCAGCCCAGAATCAAAAGCAGGGGTTACGGGAGAGGACCCAGGAGGGGATCCTGGAGGAGCCGGAGAAGGGGTGACCCCAGCCCTGCTCTCAGTCTGCCCCAGTCCCTAGAGAATAAAATTTCTAACATGTACCTGCCCGAGTCCAAGTGCCTCCGCTGCCGGTTCTGGGCACACCGGCCGCCGGCACCGCGGAGGTGCGGGCTCTTTAAGGCTCCTCCCCTGGGGCTGGCCCAGCCCCCTGGGCCCCGGCTCTAGTTCCTCGGGGGCGGGGTCACGGGCGGCCCAGCCAATGGGAGGATGGAGCCGCTCCGGCCTTTGGGTGGGAGGGCGTGTCTCTCGAGCCGCTGTGCTCCAAAAGGCGTGGCACCGCCCTCTCGTCACCGGGGGTGGGGTTATGTGTGGGTGACGTGGCGGCTTCTAGCCTTTGGTCGGATTTCGGCGGCTACGGCGCTTGGGGAGGAGGCGGTGACCATCCGGGGGACTGTGGCACTGGTGGCGGCGGCAGGCGGCAGAGAGGAGGTAGGACTCGCTCTAGGAGGGGTCTGGCCGCCGTGTCCGCTCCGGGCAGCGGCTTTCCGGGGGCGGCGACGAGAGGGGGGAAGGGAACCTGGGGCGAGCGGGCAAGTCCTGCCGGCCCGGCTCGGGGTGAGGGAATACTTCGCCGTCCAGTCAGGAAAGCCCCTGTTGAGAAAGACGTCGGCATTAGCTAATCAGTGATTTCAGTCCTCCAGAAGGCGGTACTTGGGCGGGGGTGGGACTTCCTGTTTCAAATAAACACCCAGAGATTCCCCCCCCTCCGCCCACCGAAGTGTGTCCCCCTCAGGGGGTCCGTCACCGTTTCTCCCTCAGGAGTCGAAGGGATCCGCGGATACGGGAGGGCCCGGTTAGGGCCTGGGGCAGTTGCACAGGCCGGGCTGGCGCCTCGGGGCCACGGGACCTGCCTCTGGCCCTGCCCCTGCTTCACGGCCCCCGGCCCGCGCTCTGGCCGCCGGAGCCAAGTTGGTAGAGTCTGAGGAGCGGGACGGATCGGGCGGGAGAGCGGGGCCCTGCCCGCCGTGGGCCGGCCCCAGGACCTGCGGGTGGCTTTGGGCGCGAAAGCCCGTGCCAAGTGCAGAAGGGGCCCGAGAATTTACTGGTGTGTGGGGGGGGAGGGGCGTGGGATTTGTGGGGAAGGAGGCTGCCTGGGGAATGACACTCTCCCCTCCACAACAGTCCGAGGTTATGCGTCTCAATGATCCCGCGGAAACGCTACGGGTCTAAGAACACGGATCAGGGTGTCTACCTGGGTCTCTCAAAGACACAGGTCCTATCCCCTGCAACTGCTGGCAGTAGCAGCAGCGACATCGCCCCTCTGCCCCCCCCAGTGGCCCTGGTCCCTCCCCCTCCCAACACCATGTCCTGCCGGGATCGGACCCAGGAGTTCCTGTCTGCCTGCAAGTCCCTGCAGAGCCGTCAGGTAAGGACCAGGAGTGGGAAAGGCAGGAGTGAGCCTTACTGAAATCTGGGAGAGGCTGTGCTCCAGCACCGTTAATTGACATAATTTGGGGAGAACTGATGCAGCTTGGAGGGGGCTGTAGGATCTACTGAGCAACAGAAAAGGAGTGCGTCAATTATCTAGAGGCAAGAACCTAGACTGTTTTTTGAGAAATTCCACCAGAGGATAGGGTTGCTCCTCTTTGAAGGAGTATCTCAGGATGAGAGACGGCTGCAGTATATTTGGTTTGGATAAGGAACAGGTTCTAGGAAGAGCCTTTAGCTCAGAGACAGGCACTTTGAATTCTAGTTCCGGAATAGTCCTACCGTAAGTTTGCTCTGTGGCCACAGGGAAGTTAGTCTACTTGGACCTCGCGTTTTTTGGGAGGTGAAGGGGGGTATTTTGTTTTTGTTTTAAAGTAGGCTTCATGTCCAGTATGGAGCCCAGTGCTAGGGCTTGAACTCATGACCCTGAGATCAAGACCTGAACTGCGGTCAAGAGTCAGAGGCTTAACCCACTGATCCACCTAGGTGCCCCTGGGCCTCAGTTTTTACATCTATAAAATGAAAGCAGTCTTTTTGATAAGTAGTTTTTTCTTTTCTTTTTTTTTGTTTTTTTAAAGATTTTATTTATTTATTTGACAGAGAGAGAGAGAGCACAAGCAGAGGGGGCGGCAGGCAGAGGGAGAGGGAGAAGCAGACTCCCCGCTGAGCAGGGAGCCCGATGCGGGGCTCGATCCCAGGACCCTGGGACCATGCACTGAGCTGAAGGCAGCCGCTTAACCAACTGAGCCACCCAGGCACCCCGATAAGTAGTTTTTTTCAAAATTACTTTGGAGTGCTTTTTTACAAATTAGATTCCCTTGTTTTAATCCAGACATCCTGAATCAAAGCGGGACCTGAGTGACTGTAATTTTAAATATTTTTACTGCTCAGCCCTTAACAACTGCTTTTCTGTATGATCTCCGAGAGCTTTCCAGTTATCCTCTTTGATTTCCTGATTGGAGAAATAAAATGGTAATAGTGCCTATCATTTATTTAGTGCTTACAATGTAGGAGGTATCTAACTAAAATACTTTATAGCCCTTGTGTTTAACTTTGGCAACAACTATAGGAGGTGTGTAGATTGTCTCCATTTTATGCAAGAGGAAACAGATTCAGGATGGTTTAAGTCACTTGCCCAAACCTCCCAGCTAATAAGTGGTGGAGTCAAGATTTGAACCTGGGTCTACCTGTGTTCAAATGTGAGCTCTAAGTGACTACTGATAAAAAAAGACCGTCTGGTGGAAGTACTAGGGAGAATTTAGTGGACACCCGAGGAACAGTGAAAGCTGGAAATGGGGAGGGGGACTAAAGTGTCACCTCTTGATGTTGCATTTCAGAATGGAATCCAGACAAACAAGCCGGCTCTGCGTGCTGTCCGGCAGCGTAGTGAATTTACGCTCATGGCCAAGTAAGTTGAGAGAAGTTACGTGGTGGGGTGCTGCAGTGTCTGGGGATCAGTAGGCTTGCCTCGGGTGGCCTTGGCTGTGAGGGAGGGCCGCATCGGTTGTGCTGGAGCTAATGTGGGAATAGGCCCTGTCCTGCCCTTTCCCATGGTGCCCTCACTAATGCTCCTTTCCAGGCGCATTGGGAAAGACCTCAGCAACACATTTGCCAAGCTGGAGAAGCTGACAATCTGTGAGTGTTCTTGGGGTCTTTCAGAGATGGGACAGTGAACCAGAGAGGGCTGAGGAACCGTACTCCCTGAGCCTTGTCTTTGACCTCCCCCGTTGTGGCCTCATTTGTCTCTGCAGTGGCAAAGCGCAAGTCCCTCTTCGATGATAAAGCAGTGGAAATCGAAGAGCTAACTTACATCATCAAACAGGTGAGCTGCTAGCTATCAGGAGCTAGCATTCCAGTCAGATCACTTTGATGAGTTCCCGTTATCATGGGGCCCAGAGTAAGTTTCTAGAGCCAGCCCCAGACATCCTGCTCATCCGTTGAGTCAGTGGACACTGATTGGTTATCAACTGTGTACAGAGCACTGCTGGGCACGTGCCTCACAAACTTGAGGCAAGATTTCTGCCTTCAGGGCTTATTGTCTACAGGAGGTATCCAGTCCCACAAACTCATACTTACAGTGAGGAGAAGGCAAATGGTCTAGACCTTGTGAAAAGATGAATGAGACAGTCTGGGGACACTGATTTTATGGATTTTGTAGAGGGAGTGAAATCTGAACTGGTTTCAAGGCTTGCATAGAGGCAGTGGAAGAACATTCCAGATTTTATAGAGGGAGTGAAATCTGAACTGGTTTCAAGGCTTGCATAGAGGCAGTGGAAGGACATTCCAGACAGAGGAAACAGTATGCGCTGTGGCCGAGCTTATAAAAGAGAAAGTTGAAGTCTTTGTTCAGATGTTATTTGCTCAGGGAGGCCTATCCTGAGCATGCTGTTTAGTACTTCAGTGCTCAGACCTGTGACCTCCCTAACCTTACTCTATTTTCTTGTTACAGCACTTGATACTTTCTAACATTCTCTATCATTGACTTACTTACATTTATTGGTTTTGTTCCCTCCCCTCTACCTCTTCCGCCCCCCAGCAAAGAAAAAAAGTATAAGTGCCACAAGAACAGAGATTATTTTTTTTTCTTTCTGCTTGTTCACTGATGTAGCCCCAATGTCTGTAATAGTGTCTGGTGTAGAGGAGGTACTCACTATGTGTTGATTGGACGACTGGTCGGCAGGAGATGAGGCTGGGGGGCGCCTGGGTGGCTCAGTCGTTAAGTGTCTGCCTTCGGCTCAGGTCATGATCCCAGGGTCCTGGGATCGAGCCCCACATCGGGCTCCCTGCTCCTCGGGAAGCCTGCTTCTCCCTCTCCCACTCCCCCTGCTTGTGTTCCCTCTCTCGCTGTGCCTCTCTCTGTCAAATAAATAAATAAACTCTTTAAAAAAAAAAAAAAGATGAGGCTGGGAAGGTAGGTTGGTGGCTGATTGTGAAGATCACTGTGGGCCTGGGTAAGGAGCATGGAATCACTGAATGCCATAGGCTGCAAGGACGATGAGAATCTGGATTCTAAGTCTGTCTGAAAGACCCCCCTATAGTTGTATCAGAATCTGTACAGTTGTGATTCCTTCTTCTCCCAGCACAATGTCATGAGAATAAAACGTGAAGTTGAATGACCGCAGGGGGAAAAAAACCAGCCCGGAGCATCGCTGCGCAGAGAGGCTAGGGAGGAAGCTCTGCTGCTGTCAGTTGTGAAGGGACAGTGACTCTGGCAGAGGCTGGGCCAGCCATGACGGGAGGCGCCGTGCGGGGTGGAGGAGAGAGGACACCATGAACTATTGGGGCACTGTAGCGTAGGCTTTGAAGAACCACTGCCTGGATTCAGACAGACGAGTTCAAATCCCAAGTCCACCGACTATGGTGTAATGTTGGGTAAGCCACCTAACTACTCTGAGCTTCAGTTCCCTAATGAATAAAAGGGGGCTAATAACAGCACCTGCCTCAGAGGGTTGTTGCGGGGATTCAGGTGTTTATTTTTAAAGTCACATTATTGAGTGACTTATAGCTACCTGGTTCTGGGGGATTCAGCAGTGAGCAAGACAAGATGTGGTACCTGCCCTGGGGAATTTCCTTCCTTCCTGCCTGCCTGCCTTTGTTATTTATTTACTTTTTTTTTTTTTTTTTTTTTTTTTTGAGAGAGGGAGAGCGAGAATTTCAAGCAGGCTCCATGCTCAGCACAGAGCCCAATGAAGTGCTCAGTCCCAACCCCGAGATCATGACCTGAGCCAAAATCAAGTCGGATGATGCTCAACCGACTGAGCCACCCAGGTGCCCCAGGAATTTCCTTTCTGAATGGGTGAACAGACACTAGACAAGTAGATAGAGAAAACAATTTCAGGTTGGTGAATCCTATTAAAGAAACAAGGGAAGTGAGTTCCTCAGGGTAGGGGCTTACTGTAGATGGGGGTGATCTAGGACAGCCTGTGAGAAGTGGCATTGAGACCTGAATGGTGAAGAAAACCAGTCATGCAAAGATCTGGTGGGAGCACTTTCCAGAAAGTGGGAATAGCAAAGGGAAAGGCCCTGAAGGGAGGGCCACCTTAGGGCATTTGATGAACACGAAGGAGGCCAGTGTGGTTGCAGCACAGCAAGTGAGAAGGAGACTGGGAGGGGATGAGGTCAGGGAAGTGGGCAGCGCCAGAGCCTAGAGAGCCTGCGTCAGCCAGGTAAGGAGTTTGGCTTGTGTTCTAAATTTAGTGGAAAGCTCTTGGGAGATTTTTTTTTTTTTTAACTTTTTTTTTTTAAGGATTTATTTATTTATTTATTTGAGAGAGAGAGAGAGAGAGAGAGAGAGCGCGCGCACATGAGAGGGGGGAGGGTCAGAGGGAGAAGCAGACTCCCTGCTGAGCAGGGAGCCCAATGCGGGACTTGATCCCAGGACTCCAGGATCATGACCTGAGCCAAAGGCAGTCGCTTAACCAACTGAGCCACCCAGGCGCCCGCTCTTGGGAGATTTTAAGCAGAGGGATGACGTGCTCCATTTCTGGTTCAAAAGCTCACGTTTTTTGCTGTGTTGAGGGTGGATTGTTGAGGGCAGGCTGTAAGAGGAAGGCCATTTAGGAGGCTCTTGGTGAATGTTGAGAGAAGGTGACGATATGGTCTAGGGTAGGTTTAGTAGAGAAGGAGGTGAGCTGGGTTCTCTGTGGGCTCCCACTAGGCTCCCTATGGATTAAGGGGAAAAGAGAGGAATTGAGGATGGCTCTCCAGTGTCTGGTCTGAGCAGCTTGTGACTGGTGGTGCCATTTACCAAAATGGAAAAGGAGAGAGAAGGGGGAACAGCTTTTGGCAGGGAATTAGGAGTTGTCTTCTGTGTTAAGTGTAAGGACAAAGAAAGTTGTAAGCTGCTTGGCGTGCTGTGTGGCACACAGCACGCAGATACAAGGCGCTCAGTGCCTGGTAAGTGATCCATAGAGTGTGATTGTGTTGTGGCATAGAGATGGGCTTAGGAGGTATGAGTATGTGACTTAGAAGCTTCTGGGGGCGCCTGGGTGGCTCAGTTGTTAAGCGTCTGCCTTCGGCTCAGGTCATGATCCCAGGGTCCTGGGATCGAGCCCCGCATCGGGCTCCCTGTTCCGCGGGAAGCCTGCATCTCCCTCTCTCACTCCCCCTGCTTGTGTTCCCTCTCTCACTGTCTGTCTCTGTCAAATAAATAAATAAAATCTTAAAAAAGAAAAAAAAGTTTTTAGCTTGGGTGCTTTGGTGGGAAGTGGTACCATTTTCTAAGCTAGAACTGTGGGAGAGGAGATTTTATGGGGAGAAACCGTGGAATGCAGTTTGGACGTGGTTCTCTAAGGAGGCTGCATCAGCTCCAAAGAGCCAGACCAGTCAGCAGTGGATATCATCCATGGGTCTTGAGTGGTTGTGGCTGGAATGCTAACTGGGGGGACTATTGGAAGAATTCTAGAAGTTGACTAATCTAGTTTGTCTCCAGCCTGTTCCTTGAACTCACTATTCCTGACCTCTTCCCCCCCCCCCCGCCCCAATCCCCTGGGCAAACTTTCTCTGCCACTCCCCGGCTACCTCCTTCGTCTCTCTTGTCTTCCCTGGCACTCGGCAAGCCGGATCAGGGAGCGGAGGATGCCTTGGTCTGGTGTAGAAAGCCTGGCTGTGCTACTTTACCTCATCATATGTGGCTTTGGACAAGTGACAGCTTTTACTCTTTTGCAATAATGATTTTGAAAGGAGTTCTGTATATAAGAGGCATTTTGTTGATGCTTCTGGGAAACCACGGAGACTCCCCTTCTCCTGACAGCTGCATAGGTGCTTTGCTGGTCAGTGTGCTCTGGGTGTGAGATTTTGGCCTTCGAAGTAGTTCTGTGCCCACGTGCCTGGGCCTCACAGGGTGGAGTTGAGCTGTAGGGTGAAGGGGGTAAACAAGTCATTTATTTAGAAATGGATGAGACCAGATTTCGCCTCTTCTGTCTCTACTCAGCAGGGACTGAGCCAGAACAAAGTCTGGAGCTTGGAACATCCCAGCAGGCCCTTCTGGTCTGACTTCGAAATACCCTCACCCCTGCTCATAGCTTCCACTCTGTCTTCCCTGCCAGAGCTGTCCATGTGGGAGAGACATTGGCTGAGGACCCCTTGGTTAACAGTTTTTCTGTTGGCTCTCCCTAGGACATCAATAGCCTCAACAAACAAATTGCCCAGCTTCAGGATTTCGTGAGGGCCAAGGGCAGCCAGAGCGGCCGGCACCTGCAAACCCATTCCAACACCATCGTGGTCTCCCTGCAGGTGGGGGAACCTGGGGTCAGTGGAGGGGGAGGCAGAAGGGAGAAAGGTGTTGTCTTCTCTGGCCAACCCTCTCTTTTTTTCTAGTCAAAACTGGCCTCGATGTCCAATGACTTCAAATCAGTTTTAGAAGTGAGGACAGAGGTAAGAAGAATCTGTTAGGAGGGGTAGGAACCGGGGTAAGGGTCCGAGGAGGAAATGGGAAAGGAACAAGTGGAGGGGTGAGGATAACAGCATCCTAGGCCAACAGGAGGGTCTCTCTCTCTCTAACATGCCTGCTTCCCAGAGGCCTCAGGAGCTTTGCATTTCTTCCCCAATCCCAGAACCTGAAGCAGCAGAGGAACCGGCGGGACCAATTCTCCCGAGCACCCGTGTCAGCCCTGCCCCTGGCCCCCAACCACCTGGGTAAGTCACCAGCAATGCGGGGAACCCTGAGGGCTAAGACTCGGTTACTCGGGCTGTGATGGCATCCTCTAACCCTGTGAGGGCAGGGCTCACTTAGGAGAATGGACAGGCCAGGGAGACACCAGGATTTTTCTCTCAGAGGTCAAACCCGATCGCTGGCATTCATGATCCGCACTTAGTCTTCCACATTCTCAACTGTCGGGGCTGAATTCAGTCATGTGCAATAGAATGACTGTTTCTAATATTTTTGTCATTCATTCACATTCTCCCATTTAATTTTCACCACCGCCCTCTGAGAAAGCCACTATTATTATGTGCTATTTAAAGGGGAAGAAACTGGGGCGCCTGGGTGGCTCAGTCGTTAAGTGTCTGCCTTCGGCTCAGGTCGTGATCCCAGGGTCCTGGGATCGAGCCCCATGTCGGGCTCCCCGCTCCGTGGGAAGCCTGCTTCTCCCTCTCCTGCTCCCCCTGCTTGTGTTCCCTCTCTCACTATGTCTCTAACAAAATCTTTTTTTTTTTAAAGATTTTATTTTTTTATTTGAGAGAGAGAGAATGAGAGATAGAAAGCACGAGAGGGAAGAGCGTCAGAGGGAGAAGCAGACTCCCCGCCGAGCAGGGAGCCCGCTGTGGGACTCGATCCCGGGACTCCAGGATCATGACCTGAGCCGAAGGCAGTCGCTTAACCAACTGAGCCACCCAGGCGCCCTCTAACAAATAAAATCTTTAAAATAAAATAAATAAATAAAGGGGAGGAAACTGGGGCCCAGAGAGGTTAAATGACTTGTCCAGGGCCCCAGTGCTAGTAAGTGCCAGAGCTGGGACTGAAACTCAGCACGTGGGCTTTGAACCTGCTTTCAAGTACTAAGAAGTGCCTGTTCTTTCTTTCCCCAGGGGGCAGTGCTGTGGTTTTGGGGGCGGAGTCCCGTGCCTCTGGGGATGTGGCCATTGACATGATGGACTCTCGGACCAGCCAGCAGCTGCAGCTCATTGATGAGCAGGTACCTGGGCTCTGAACCGGGGAGGAGATGCTCCTCTGTCCTCCCAGGTGGGCAGCTAGCAAGTGTTTGAAATGTGCCTTGAGTAGAGTGGCAAGCTAGGAGGGTCCTAAAGAGGCAGGCCCTCCCCTGAGGAAGCTCCTCGTGCTCACGTGCACTCTCTCTCCTCTTAAGGATTCCTACATCCAGAGCCGGGCAGACACCATGCAGAACATCGAGTCCACAATTGTCGAGCTGGGCTCCATCTTTCAGCAACTGGCACACATGGTTAAGGAGCAGGAAGAAACCATTCAGAGGTGAGACTCTTTTTTACCCCAGATAGAAGAACCTTCTCTTCCCTGTGGGGTGGCATCCTAAAGGTCCGCAGGGACAGCTTGATGCCCTTTGAAAGAGTAGAGTGAATCTGGCCTGCGCACAGGATTCATTCAACAAGTGTTTATGGAGCGCCTGTTTCTTGTCAGGCGCAGTTCTAGGTGCTGGTGATACAGCAATGAGTGTAACAGTGAAGTCTCTATAGTGTAGGTGTGGAATTCAGGAGCATGGGTGAGGACAGCTATTCAAAAGAGTTGACAAGAAATTTTCTGGTAATGATAAAGTCTACGCGGAGAATTATGGTGGGATGACGTGTTAAGAAAGGGACTGAGTAGTTCCTATCAGTGGACTCCGACGCTTCTTCCGGAGTTTTGGTTATTGTAGATAATGCTGCAGTGAACATAGGGGTGCATATATTTTTCTGAGTTTGTGTTTTCTTTTCCTTTGGATAAATGCCCAGAAGTGGAATTACTGGATCATGTGGTAGTTCTATTTTTAATTTTTTGAGGAACCTCCATACTGTTTCCCAGAGTCTCTGTATTAGTTTGCATTCCCACCAACAGTGCACAAAGGTTCCTTTTCTCCACATCCTCACCAGCACCTGTTGTTTCTTTCTTTCTTTCTTTTTTTTTTTTTTTTAAATGCTAGCCATTCTGACAGGTATGAGGTGATACTTCATTGTAGTTTCGATTTGTATTTCCCTGATGATGAGTGGTGGTGAGCATCTTTCCATGTGCTTCTTGGCCATGTGGATGTCTTCTTTGGAAAAATGTCTATTCAGACCTTTTGCCCATTTTTTAATTATTTTATTTTATTTATTTACTTTTTTTAAGATTTTATATATTTGAGAGAGAGAATGAGATAGAGCATGAAAAGGGGGGAGGGTCAGGAGAAGCAGACTCCCCGCTGAGCAGGGAGCCTGATGCGGGACTCGATCCCAGGATCCTGGGATCGTGACCTGAGCCGAAGGCAGTTGCTTAACCAGGCAACTGAGCCACCCAGGCGCCCCAGTTTATTTTATTTATTTATTAGCTGTTGAGTTATATGAGGTTTGGCTATTCGCCCTGTATCGGGTAAGTGATTTGCAAACTTCTCTCCTTTTCAGTAGGAGAGAACTTTGTTGATAGTTTTCTTCTCTCTGCAAAAGCTTTTTAGTTTGATGTACTCCCATTTGTTATTTTTGCTTTTGTTGCTCTTGCCTGTGGAATCAGGTCCAAAAAATATTGCTAAGTGATGTCAAGGAGCCTGCCACCTGTGTTCTTTTCTAGAATTTTTATGGTTTCAGGTCTTTTTTTTTTTTTAAGATTTTATTTATTTGACAGAGAGAGACACAGCGAGAGAGGGAACACAAGCAGGGGGAGTGGGAGAGGGAGAAGCAGGCTTCCCACAGAGCAGGGAGCCTGATGCGGGACTCGATCCCAGGACCCTGGGATCATGACCTGAGCTGAAGGCAAACGCTTAACGACTGAGCCGCCCAGGCGCCCCTGGTTTCAGGTCTCACATTCAAGTCTTTCATCCATTGTGAGTTCACTTTCATGTGGTGAAAGCAAGCGGTCCAGTTTCGTTCTCTACATGTAGCCGTCCCATTTCCCCAACACCATTTGTGGACGAGACTGTCTTCCCCATTTATATTCTTGCCTCCTTTGTTGTAGATTAATTGATCATATATGCGAGGATTTATGTCTGGGCTCCCCCCTGTTCCATTGATCCGTGTGTATTTGTGCCAGTGCCGTGCTGTTACGATGACTGTAGTTAATGCAGTATAGTTTGCAATCAGGGAGTGTGATACCTCCAGCTTTGTTCTTTCTCAAGATTGCTTTGGCTATTCAGGGTTTTCTTTTGAGTCCGTAAAAATAGTGTACTTTTTAATATAGGCTTACCATTTTACTGCTTGCTTTCTCTTTCTTTTTCCTGTTTTTTGTCCCTTTGTTCCTCCTTCCCTATCTTTTGAACAACTGAAATTTTTTTCAAAATTTAAATTTCAAAAAAATTTTTTGCTGGTATTTTAGCTATATGTCATTGCCTTTTTTTTTTAAGTGGCTGATCTAGGGATTACAGCGGGCATCATTGGCTCACAGCCTACTTTATATAAAATGCAAGAACTTTAGGGGTGCCTGAGCGGCTCAGTCAGTTGGAGTCTGACTCTTGATTTCAGATCAAGTCATGATCCTCAGGATCATGAGATCCAGTCCTGTGCTGGGCTCCATGCTGAGTGTGGAGCCTGCTTGAGATTCTCTCTCTCCCCCTCTCGGCCCCTCCCCCCTGCTTGTGCACACGTGGGTGCTTACATGCGTGCACTCTCTCTCTCTCTCAAAAAAAATTTAAAAAACCAAAAAAAAAAATGTAAGAACTGTGCAACTCTGTCATGTAGCCTTTATGCTCTGGTTGTCCTATCTGTTGCACCTACATACCTTTGAAATCCCATAATCCAGTATTATAATTTTTATTTTACAGAAATTAAGAAAAATTTGTCTTTCATATTTACTTCTATGTTTACGATTTCTTTTTTTTTCCTTCCAAATTATTATCTAAATTCTAATTAGTGGAGCCCCTGGGTAGCTCAGTCAGTTAAGCATCTGCCTTCAGCTTGGGTCATGGTCCTGGGTCCTGGGTTTGAGCCCCACATTGGGCTCCCTGCTCAGCGGAGAGTCATTTTCACCCTCTCCCTCTGCCGCTCCCCCTGCTTGTGCTCTCTCTCTAATAAATAAATAAAGATTTATTTATTTCGGGGAGGGGGAGGGAAAGAGGGAAGGGAGAGCAGCAGACTCCCTGCTGAGCGTGGAGCCGAAGTAGCCCAACATGGGACTAGATCCCAGGACCCAGGAGATTATAACCTGAGCCGAAATCAAGAGTCAGCAGCTTATCCGACTGAGCCAGCCAGGCACCCCAGATCTGTTGTTTTACTTTCCTTTTATCTGAACATTTCTTTATTTCACTTTCATTCTCTCTTTCTCTTTTTTGTTTTGTGTGTGTGTAAGATTTAATTTATTTGAGAGAGAGAGAGCACATGAGCGGTGGGGAGGGACAGAGGGAGAAGGAGAAGCAGACTCCCAGTTGAGCAGGGAGACCCAAGTGGGGCTCGATTCTAGAAGCCTGAGATCATGACCTGAGCCAAAGGCAGACGCTTAACCAACTGAGCCACCCAGACGCGCGCCCCCCCTTATGTTTTTAGGTAGACTCTATGCCCAACATGGGGCCTGAACTCACAACCCCTAGATCAAGAGTCACACACTCTTGATCATGTGAGACGGGGTGAACACCTATATTTGTATAAAGCAGGTTTCCCAGTACCAGTCCATTAAGCAGCCTCACCTATTTAATTGGGCAAGGTAAAGAAAACAGGCCCCTCGCCTCACACTTGGAGATCCTGATTCCATAGATGTGAGTGGACTGGACCTCCAGGAATTTCCATTTTATATAAGCTCATAGGAGGTTCTCATGAGCATCCAAGTTTGAGAACCACTATTTAACAGGATGTTTGTTTGTTTATTTATTCATTGACTATGGTATCAACCATTTATAAGGTGCTAAGAGTCTAGCCGTCTTGGTCCTGAAATCAAGAGACCTCAAAAGACTGATTCTTAACCCGGTTCAACCGAGACCTAGGGACCTCCTTATTGGGTTGTTCCATAAAAACTGTAGCTCCTCAGGCTGTGATGTATTTTGAATATTAGAGTATTATTATAGATTCAGTGAAACAATTATAAAAGGTATTTGGGTTTGGGACGCCTGGGTGGCTTAGTCAGTTGGGCATCTGCCTTCGGCTCGGGTCCTGGGATCAAGTCCTGTGTGGGTCTCCTTGCTCGGCGGGGAGCCCGCTTCTCCCTCTGCCGGTAGCTCCCCCTGCTTGTGCTCGCTTGCTCTCTCTTTCTCTGACGGATAAATGTAAAATCTTAAAAAAAAAAAAAAAAAGATTTGGATTCTTTCTCCATTGCATGTATTTTATTTATTTTATTTTTTATTTTTTTAAGATTTTATTTATTTATTTGACAGAGACACAGTGAGAGAAGGAATACAAGCAGGGGGAGTGGGAGAGGGAGAAGCAGGCTTCCCGGTGAGCAGGGAGCCCAATGTGGGGCTCGATCCCAGGACCCTAGGATCATGACCTGAGCCGAAGGCAGACGCTTAACGACTGAGCCACCCAGGCACCCTGCATATGTGTTTTAAATAGTTAACATTAGGGATGCCTGGGTGGCTCAGTCGGTTAAGCGTCTGCCTTCGGTCCAGGTCATGATCTCAGGTTCCTGGGATCGAGCCCCGCATTGAGCTTCCTGCTCAGCAGTGAGTCTGCTTCTCCCTCTTCCTCTCCCTCTGTTATCTCTCTCACTCTCTCTTGCTCTCAAATAAATAAAATCTTAAAAAAAAATAGTTAATATTATATGCATTTGCATGCAACTTTACATTCTAGTCTTCCTTGAAAGAGTGAAGTATCTTTCAGTGTTAGTTTTCATTTGTTCATTAGTTTAGCAAACATCTGTTGCTGCTGTGAGCTAGTTCTGCTGGACCTGGGGATAGGAAGGTGAAAGACCATTCCGGTCTTTGTGGAGCTCATGTCTAGTAGGAGAGACACACACTGAGTTATAGTTCAGTATGGTAAGGGCAGGAAGGGAAGGAGGGAAGGGAACTCAGACTAGGTACCTCTCCTAGAAATAAAAGATACCAAACCAAGTTCTGAGGTGGAATGCCAGTCAGGGAAAGGAAAGGCCATTCTACGTGGGGGGAAAACCAGCTGAGAAATGAAAAAGGGCTTGGGTGGCTTCCAGGAATGCAGAATTACTGCACGTGGCAGGGGGAGTGGTGAGGGAGGAAGCTGGAGAGGCAGGGCCAGATCACAAAGGACCTGTGTGCCGCAGCAAGAAGTTCATTCTCGGAGAGAACACGGAGAAGTAGATGGATGCTGGGGTGAGGGGAGTGAGCTTTGTTCTGGACATGCTGACCGACTCGATGGGACCTCCAAGTGGCATTTGATGTGTGGTCTGAGGCT